TTTAAAATAAGAAAATTAATGAAATTAAATAATAAAATAAAAAATATTATTTATTAATAAAATATTATATTTCATTTATAAAACTATTTTTTAAATTATTAATTAAATCTTTTTACATTGATGTGACTAATTTAAATGCATTTTTATATTCTAATTCTGAATTATTTTTTAATAATAGGTAAATTTGTTTTCATAAATGCATTGTAAGGAGATAATTTTTTACTTTTATTCATTTTGATAATAGTATCTCATTTAGCTAATTTGTTAGCTTGCTTATTATCAATTATACTCTTATGTCCAAAAACATGTATAAAATATACTTTACCAATTCTTTTAGTAACCAAAAAATTAATTTTTTCAAATAAATCTTTGTTTTTTTATTTCTTAATTTTTAACTGTCTTCTATCTATTTGTTTTCTATTTATGTATTTATCTTTTAAGTAAATCAACAACAAAATGACTATTTAATTTGATTTCAATTAATTTTAATTAATTTTTACAAGTTTCTAATACTCTAATTACTGCATATAATTTTGCTCAATTGTTTGTTTGTAAATTACCAGGTAGAGGTTCAGTAATTTCTTTATTTCCATTTTTATAATAAATTCTAATTCCAGCATAAGAACTTTTTTGATTGTTTTTATAAGAACTATTTGTGTAAATAACTATTTTATCATCAGTATTCAGCTTTTTTTTTTCTTTTGATTTTTAATTGAAAATTTTCAAATTCTTCATTTGCTTCTTCTAATGTGAGAAATTTTTTATAATAAGAATTAATATTGTTCACTTGTTTATCATATTCTTCTAAAGTGTCATAATTATCAGAGGTGCAACCAATTAGAACAGCATAATAATATTTTGAAGATTTAGGCATTTTGAAGGATGAAAATGCATATAAGCATGTTCAATATAGGATAGTAAAAATAGGAGTTAGTATAACAAGCAAAATTATATTTTAAACATATATACAAGTTGGAATCATTCTTTTATCTAAATTAAATAATTGTAATATTACATTAAAAAGAATCTAATTGGTCCTGAAAGACTAATTAGATTGTTTATTAGATAAGAAACTGAACCAATCCAAAACATGAAAGCAAAATAATATTAAACAAATAATAAATAAATAAAGCACTAAAGCATTTGCTAATTTGATTAAACAAAATGATAAGTTTGAACCAATTTCAATACTTAGTTTGAAAGCTATTTCTTAATAAAAGAAAGAAAAATAATGAAGGTTTATATATTTTTATCTTTATGTAATGTTATTAAAAATGATAATCGAAATCAATGAGTTTAGAATGCAACAACTTTGAAAACTTGCTTTAACACATGTGCAAACTGTATATGAGTACCAAGTTATAAATTGTAATTGTTTATATTTTTTTACTAAACATTTGTTAAATTTAATTTCTAATTTATACAGAAAACAAAAAATATTTAATTTATATAAATTACAGATAGATTTTAGGCTTTCAAATTTCTCTTTGGTGACTAAAGTAAAATAATTTTTAGAATTTTTAAACTGTAATAGATTAAGTCTTGTTTCTTTCTCTAAATAATTTATAATAATCAAACATTTAAGCTGCTCTTCTTTTGAAATATCTTTGTTAAATACATTGTAATTAATATAAATCATGAAAGAAACATATATATAAGGTTTTAACAAATAGTTGTTAAATAATTCGATTAAAATGTATTTTGTTCCATATAAATTGAATAATATTTTATAAAGTTTGTACCAAAATCGACATGTTGTTTTAATTGCATTTGAGATTAACACATTCAGAAGGGTAATTTTTTCTAAATTGAAACATAAATAAAATATTATTATCAATATTTCATTAGGAAATATGTTAATATAAATTATAATTACATAAATAAAAATCTACTTGGTTAAGACTAAGTAGATAATTTATTTAAATAAAAAAATTAAGAATATAACCACTTTTTTAATATATTAGAATATGAAGAAGAAAAAAAAACCTGATCACTATCTAGAAAAGCATTGTAGCTTTGACTTTTGTAAAGAGCTGTTAAATATGAATCATAATATTCACAAACATTTACACTATATCTTAAATAAGAATCATTATCAGAAAGTTGAACTACCTTTTTTAGAACTTTTTTACAATCTGATTCCATGTTTCCAAAGAAAGTAAATCCTTGTATCTCACAATATATATAAGATTTACAGTTCTGGCATCTTCTTTTTTTATATTTACAAAATGTTTTAGCATCCACAAATATTAAAGTTCTTTTGAAATTTTTCAGATAATTTGTTTCCACATATAGTTGCTTTCCTAATCTTAACTTATGAGAGAATCGAGAACCATCTTTGTTAATGTCTATCTAGATGTTTTTGGAACAGTATCATATATTCTATTTATATAAAGTTAGTGGACTATATAATGAATTATATTTTTGTATTAAGTAATATCTGATTGTGATCTTGTTAAAATAATAATAATAATGATGATGAAATATTTTATACACAAATTTAAGTTTTTGAAAATCACTAAATCTTTTATCATCTAATGTAATCTTTAAAGCTGAAGTCAAGAAAAAAAATATCTTATGATGTATATCATAAGGTAATAAAATGAAATGTCATGTGTTCTTAGTTTTGATGTTATTAATAAAATATGAATCAAGTTTGCATCTATAATATTTTTTTTTCTCTATGATTTTTTGAGATATTATTGTTAATTATTTGGTTGCAATTTCATATTTAATTACACAAATAAATCTCTGCTTGGTAGAACTGAACAGATTATTTATTAAAGAATATTAAACAAAATTTCTTAAATTCCTTATTTTGTTTTAATAATCTAATATTGTAAAATTTTCTGGTTCTAAAAATTCATTATTTTTATTGTAAAGATTGTTAAAATATTTATTACAATTTTTGCAAATTTTTATACAATATAATAAATAATGATTTTCAACAGATATAGGTTTGATTTTTTTATATAAAACATCTTTGCATTCTGATTTACAATGTGTTGGGAAATCATAAGAATATACTACACAATATGTAAATGTTTTACAATTCTGACATCTGCTTTTTCTATATGTTTAAGTTTATTTGATTCAATGAACATTAAAGTTTTCTTAAAATGATCACAGTATAATTGATTATCATGTGAATAAAGTTTATAAGAGTAAGAAAATTTAGAGTATAAATCAACATCACCATCTTTGAAATCAATCTAGATGTTTTTTGAACAGTTACTTACATTTCATTTGAAACATTTTGGTAGTTCATGATCTTGATTGTATTTTTTTTAAATCAAATAATAGTTTGTTCTAAATTGAGAAAAATAGTATCTGTAAAACCAACAGAATAATTTACACACAAATTTCAGTTTTCGAAATTCAACAAATTTTCTATTATCTAATATAAATTTTAATGATTTTGTAATATCTGAAGGTATTAATAATAAAAATATTATATAAAGTATATCATCTAGTAAATAAATAAATAGTTTTCTGTTTTTAAAATTCTTTATAGAATATGGATTAATTTTTTTGCATTTATGTTTTTCTTAAGGCATGATTATGTAAATAAACTTCTGTTTGGTACATTATACTGAACAAATGAATTTGTAAAGTGCTAATTGTGTCTATGATATATTTACATAAATTTACTAATAGAATATATATTCTTTTATGAAAGTAAGATTATTGTAATAAATTAATTCTATTATAATTATTATCTTCAAATTGATTATTGGTTTGATTGATAGGTTGTAGAGCTGAGAAGAGAATTTCAATTGATTACATTTTTCAGTTAATAATATGAAATCATTGAATTTGTTAATATTAAACTTGTTTTTTGTTAGAAAGTTTATTAGTGAAGAGGATTTTTGCATCTTTATATAAAGTTTTGTTATCTTAACATAATTCATGATTTTGATCTAATTGTTATCAAATAATTGGTATTGCATCTTGTTAAAATTAAGAGGAAAAAATTTTTTTACCTTTATATATGCTTTTGTTTACTTGATTCTGATTGTTTATCAGCTTGTAATTTATATTTATGTGATATATTAGAGTAATAAAATTTGTTTAGTTTCAATTGAGTTTTTTGTTTTTTATTATTTTTCTGTCTATATAATTCTTTAGTTAGTTTTCTTTTAGTCATATTAGGTATTGTTTCAACAAACTCAGTTATCTTTTGTTGATTTTTTTTAACAAAAAATTCTGTTATTATTTGTTGCTTTTTAAGTTCCTCAGCATTGAATATTTCCTTTATGTTTTTGAGAGCTTGCTTCTCTTCACAGCTTAAAAGATGAGTCACAATGTCTTATAAACTATAAAAATAGTATACAATATCAATAATATCTTTTTTTGAATCAAAATGGTTTATTAAAATCATCCTGTATGAAATACTTAATACACCTAATAGAAATTTTACATAGTAGAAGATTTATCTTGGTTTAATAGAATGTTTCAATCTAGCAACAAAATTATTAACTATCTTATTTTCTTTTTTTGTATCAGATTTTGTAATTTGCTTAAGAATTTATTTTGTTCTTCTTTTGACTGATCTTTGTTTAGTGTTTTTACAAAATCGACCGCTGATACTGAAGCATATATTAGGTCAAACTTTGCTGTAAAAACAAATAAGTCTAATAATGTTTCTTTTTTGTTGACATAGTTAGTGATTATCTGTATAACTAATTCTTTTTGATCTATTTCTTCTTGTCTGATCAAGAAATCTTTATTAAATCCAAGTAAAGAATATATTAATTCTTTTGCTACTAGTTTGTAAAACTCTGACACATTACATTTGATAGTTTTGAGACCTTTCAATAATAAATTTAAATTGTCTAAATTTGGCATATCTGAATAAATAATTGTAACATAATGTTTTTTTCCAAAAATTAAAAAAGGATACATTGTTTTTTTATAAACCATCTTTAAGTATATAGATTTCATAATTTGTTTCAAGTATTCATTGATTTTTGTTTCTAAAATCTTTAAATATAATATTGTCAATTTGATCTGTTCTTCCTAATATTCTTTTTTTGATAATAAACTAGTGGAATACTTAGTTCTGTGAAATATGATTCTGGTAATGAATAAAATACAGAATCTGTGTCTTCATAAACTACAATAAATCCTTGTTCTCTTACAAAATTAATCATCATCTTTAATGTTGCTTGACAAAATGCTATAACTAATAATACAACTTCCTCATGATATAATAGTGAATATCTGTAATCAGTCTCACTATAAACAGAGTTTGCAAATATTTTTAATGCATTTAATAATGAAGTATAGTATAGGAGTTTTGTTTCATCATTTTTGAACAATTTTATTTTTTGTTTTGCATCATTTTGATTTTTTAGCAATTCTTTACATATAAATGCCATGATACCTATTTTATTTATATTATTGTCATATGGTAAAAATTTATCATATACAATGGCATTATCAATTATAGTATTTAAATGATGATTAGTTGAATCTTTTGAAACATATTTTTTAAGAGATATATTGTTTTGTATAATAGCATAAGGGTAATATAATGTAAAATTAACATCTGCAACAGGTCTTTTAATGTTCTTAATTAGTGGAATTACCAGACCTTCATCATACATTCCTTGTTTAACAATTTTTTTACATCTTGACTAAAATCTTTCTTTATGATGCATATCTGCTAAACAAATTTTATATCAAACATCCAATTCCATTAGTAAAAATATTAGATATTGTTATACATGCAATTCTGGCTCTTTGTACATAATCACTAATTATGTTTTGCTTTAAGTTTAATTCATGTAACTGTAATATGTCAACTGAACAATAATATGCTAGCTCTATTGCATACTCTTTCAACATTGATTCTGAAACTTGAAATGCATTCAAACAATCAGAAAAAGAAATATTATTAATTTTGACAGCTGATCAGATAATTTTTCTAATATTTGTTTGTTGTTTTTTTTTTTTTTTTTTTTTTAACCTTAAGCAGTTACGTTAATACTTTATTAAGATTCTTGGAACTATATATATACATAATTACATAGAATTTCCTAATACTTAAGTTTAGCATCACTTGGCCATCCTAATGGTACCTAAGTGCAATCTGCTGCACTACCTCAGTTAGAGATAGACTGCTCATTTAACTACTTAAAGCCATACCAGAAGAGTCTTCTCCCTTCTGTGACAAGCATATCAATTGTCTTTAATGCTTTATTCATTTTTCTTTTTCTGTTTTTTTTTCTTTCTCATCTTCTTTTGATATTTTACTTTCTATCTTCTTTTCTTTTAATCTTTTTTTCTCTTTATAACCTTTTTTCATTCTATTTGTTATATTAGAGCTCTTTTCCTATTTTTGTACTCTTTCACATCAAACTCTTCATACTTGGTTGTAAAAGGTGTTTCACACTGTTCTAGTTGCTATATCTATACATTTCTGTGTCACATTTTTGTTTAACAATTGTTCGATTCCTTTTTTAACTTTGAGTGTTATGAGCTCTTTTATTAGTGCTTTTCTGTTCTTAATTTCTTCTTCCTCTGTTTTTCCAAAAAGTGTCATATATAGCACTTGTGGTAGAATTCTGTCTTTTTCTCTTTCTTTGAGACCATTTCATGCTGTTGCTACTGACACTTTTTGGATTCATTTCCACAGACTTCTTTGTTTGCTGCAACTTGCTATATATGTTTGAGTTTCTATCTTACTCTTTTGACAAACTTGACAGTCTGCTGTTATATATACTTCTGATCTTTTTCTGTTTAGTTTTTCTAATGTTGGTAAACTGTCCATTATATACTTGATTGCTGTTGCTCTTCTCATACTAAGTCTTCTCAATGTACAATGTACTCTACTAGTTCTATTTATTTCTTTTTAGAAGCTTGACCAGTTGTGTAGTGCTTGTTCAGTTTCTAGCTCTAGTAATCTAATTGGTTTTGTTTTTTGCCAGCCAGCTCCAATTCTAGCATTAACAATTATCTTGCAAAGAAGTCTTATTGGTATGTCAATCTTTTTACTTTCTCATTCTATATAGTACTTTATTCTGCTACATTTGATTTTTTTCACACAGATTATCTCTTTGCTATTCACTCCTTTCTTTGCAAGTAAATCTGCTCTATCATTCTACTTGTTTTCACTATGACTTTTAACTTTAACTATTTTTATTTTAATGTTTTTGCTTTTGATTAAGTCTGTAATGTTTATTATCCACATTGCATTTTTCTTTTTGAGAATTCTTTCATCTTCTATACTTTGTATTGCTTTGTTAATATTTCTTAATGCTGTACTGCTATCTGTAAATATTTCTATATTTTTCTCCTCTGGTACTGTTAGAATTGCAAACCATATTGCTACTAATTCTGCTATTGTTGCTGAGGGCTATCCTTCGAGTCATAGTGCCTCTTCCTCTTCTGGCCAATCCTTTCCATCTCCCAATTGCACCCAACTGATGCCTATTTTCTCTGTACTATCTCCTGCCTTCTTTTTATACAGTGCTTCATCTGTATAAAAGATATACTTGTTCTTGTTTCTTCTTTTATTTCTTGCTAGAATTTCTATTAAGTGATTTGCAATTTTATTGCTTATTCCTTGTTTTCTAATTAATTCTATCTCTAATTCTTCTATTCGTTTTATTTCTATTAGGTTTCTTTTGTTTCTTCTCCAATCCTCTGTTGTTTTGTTGTCTGTTATCTGTTCAAGTATTGTATTAATTCTGTTATTGCCTTTCTTGATTATTGTTTCTGGAATTACTTTCATATTGTAATCATGTTTTATCCATTTCTCACAGTTGTCTGATGTCTCTTCTGGTTTGTTTTCACAACCTTTATATTTACTTATTTCTATGATTGTTTTTCTCTCTTCTTTCTTCATTACTCAATGCTATGCTAGTATCTTTTCACCTTTCTTCTTGATTACTTTGCTGAGTCATTGATTGTGTTTTGACCTATGTATAACCCATTTTCTTTTCCTTCGATCTTCTGACAACTTCATCTATTTGATCTTTAATGCTTGAGTGTTGTAACTGTTTGTTTTATAGTTGTCATGTATTTCTCTGTTTGTTTGTGTTACTAGCAGTTTCCTTTCTATTTCACCAAACTATTTGGCCTTTTTTCCTTTATATGACAGACCTAAGTGGCACTTAAGTTGTCTTCATGTAATTAGACTTTCACCTTTTAAATCTATAAGCTTGTTTAAATATAACAGTCCCTATTTGTTCATCATACTGTTACTTGTTGCTCATGTTTTAGTTTCTATTATGTCTCTTATTTGTTTCCCATATCTGGACACTTTCTATAAAGTATCTTCTGTTTTGATAGTTATGCCTATCTCTATGGCTTTAGCTATTATATGATAGGCTAAATTGTTTTTCCAATATTTCTTTTCTTTTAGTTTCTCTTTGTAATTCCAAATATCATCTGTTAACTCTGCAATTTGGCATTCTTGTGTTATTATAAGTCTAGTTAGCTCACCTAATCTATCCTTTTATTAAGTTACAAAAAGAGACTACTTATTTGCTTTGTTATTATTTCTTGACTTAGTAGCTTGCAGTTGCCTAGATCTTTGTGCTTCACTATGCAATTGTTCGCTGTTTTCATCATATTGCACTTGTGTTTTGCTAGACATATTAGTAGTTGATGTATTTTATCAATTGTCTTTTCTGACATCTTTGTTAGTTGTAAAAGATAGCCTAGTTTTGGAATTATCACTGTATTGTTTATATATATGATTTGGCTTATTGTCATTTTCTTGTATCTTAAGTCTTTAACTGTTTGACTAACAATTCCTTTTACCTTTTTGCAAATTAATGACTCTTTCATTCTACTGTTTAGCCAGATTTCTAAAGATCTCACAATCTTGTTCTTTGGTTCTTCTATTATTTTATTTTGACCAAATATGATTTCTCTTTCTTCTGTTTTGCATTTAGTGTTTATTACTATTAGCTTTGATTTGAACCTATTTATTTTAATATCATTGGCTGTAAAAAACTCTTCTGCAATTCTAAGAATTTTTATTAACTGCTCCTTGTTGCTAGCAATCCATGTTGTATCATCTGCGTATGCAATTGCTGCCTGTCTATATTTTGTTACATTGCTGTTGCATATTCCTTCTGTTATTTTCTGTTCAACTGTATATCCTAATGTTATGTCTTCTTGAATTCTTTCCAACAGTGGGTCATAAAAGAGATGCCAAATTAGAGGTGACATTACTTCTTTTTGGTTTATTCTATCTCTTGCTGTTATTTTTTCTGTTAAGCCATAAGCTGTAATAACTTTAAGTTGTCGATTGCTAAAAAGGTTAGATATATAGCTCTTTGTTTTCTGTAATATTTTGATTCTCTTCAGAGCCCATTCTAGGCTTTCTAGTAGAACTAAGTTAAAAGCCTTTTTCATATCTTGCAAGAGTATCTATACTATTTTGTTCTTTTCTTTTACTTCTTCTATTATCATGTTTAGTATATGTAAGTATATATATTGGTTGTTCTGTTGAGTTGCCTGGCAGACCTGTATAGTTTGGACTCTTGAGTATTTCTTTTTCTGTAAATATCTTAGCTAATCATTTTGTTACTACTTTTGTAACTATTTTCCTAAAGGTCT